GGATACCACAAACCAAAACTAGTAGTTCCTTTTAAGTATTTTAAAATATGTTTCACTGCAATTAGATGAGATTCTTTAGGACAAGCCTGAAATCTAGCACACACACAGACAAAATGCATAATATCAGGTCTACTTGCAGTTAAGTATAACAGTGATCCTATCATACCTCTATACATAGTTTGATTAACTTCCAAACCTGATTCATCCTTGTCTAGATAGCATGAAGTTCCCATGGGTGTGTTAGCTTCCTTTGAGGTGTCCATTCCAAACTTTTTAAGGATCTCTTTGCAGTATTTGGTTTGAGAGATGAAAATGCCATCTTTAAGTTGCTTGATTTGAAGTCCAAGGAAGAATGTCAATTCTCCCATCATAGACATTTCAAACTCTCCCTGCATTATCTTAGAAAATTCTACACATAACGAATTATCAGTTGATCCAAAAATAATATCATCAACATATACCTGGACCAATAAGATATGTTCTTTAACTATCTTTATAAACAGTGTAGAATCAATTTTTCCTCTAGAGAAATCATTTGATGTTAGGAAACTACTTAGCCTTTCATACCAAGATCTAGGAGCTTGTTTCAACCCATATAATGCTTTCTTTAATTTAAAAACATGATTAGGATAACTAAAATCTTCAAATCCAGGGGGTTGCTCCACATAAACTTCTTCTTTAATAAAACCATTCAAAAATGCACTTTTAACATCCATTTGATATAGTTTAAATTTCATTAAAGATGCATAGGCAAGAAGTAGGCATATAGCCTCTAACCTGGCAACAGGAGCATTAGTTTCATCATAATCTATACCTTCCTCCTGACAATAGCCTTTTGCAACAAGTCTGGCTTGAAGCCTTTGTCACATAATTGACTTATACTAAGGAGATTATGCTTAAGTCCATCAACAAGTAGCACATCCTTGATCTCCAAAGTGTTTGCCCCACCTATGTTTCCAATTCCAAGGATCTTCCCTTTGTTGTTGTCCCCATAAGTTACATATCCTTGTTCCTTAGCCTTGAAACTCACAAATTTAGATTTATCTCCGGTCATATGTTTTGAGCATCCGCTATCAAGATACCACATAGACTTCTTTGATTTGGAAGTTTCCTACAAAACAAGAATATAGTAAACTTAGGTCCCCACAACTTTTGGGTCCTTGGGGTTAGAGACATAACAAACTATTTAACTATAGGAACCCAAATGTATTTACCTTTAGGTACACCAAAATGTTTATTTTACATCTATTTGACGTGTGATCTTGTTTCATGCAATAAAAACATGCTTTAGATGTAGCATTTGAAAATGATGCATTTCTAATCATAGATGATCTAGTTCCTTTTTCTACCAATACTCTTTTATTTTTCCTTTTAGGCTTTTTCAAAGGAACTTGATGATTTACATTATTTTGAGCAAACACCATTTCATGCTTCTTAAGATCATCTATTTCCTTTTCGGCTTTGTCTAACAAATGGTTAAGAATATCTATATCATATTCATGCTCTTTACAATTTACACATGCCATGTTTTTATCATTATCCTCATCTAAACATACAATTTTCGTACTTAAGGACTCCTTTTCTTCTAAACATGTGATTTTCATTTTTAAGGAGTCTATTTCCTTTTCGGATCTACTTGAATTCTTCTTTACAACTTGTCGCCGCCGTAAAAAAGAGAGGCGATCGGAGCGACGCGATGGTTTCGACCCTTTTGATTTTCGCGTTTTTTATGGGTGGTTACAACGCCTTTAAGTTGTCCGATAACCGGGCTAACCTAGGGGTGAGGTTTTCGAAAGGTCGTCCTTGGGTTGTCCGATAACCGGGCTAACCCAAGGACTAATTTTGAAGGGTTCTGTGGAGTCGTCACCGATGTTTTTACCGAAAACATCGGAAAAGGAGTTTAAAAGGCGTTGGTTTTCGAAAAACCAACTTTGGTCATTAGAACCAGAGTTGGGTAAGGGAGTTAGTTACGTGTAAAGGAAGTGTTAGTTCCTTTATGATGCCCCTTTCAAGTTCCCTATGATAGGCCAGCTATTTTGTTAATAAATAAACCGGAAGAACACGCTTTTACCCTTTTATTTTGCAGAATTTAAAACTATGACTACATGGCCCTAATCTATTGCATAATTTAAAACTAAAGCAGTAAAAGTGGAGAGGGAGAGTTTAAACCTCCGAAGTAAGCTTTCTTTTTATTTCTTTTAAAAAAGAGGGTGCTTTGTGGCAGCCCTTCACTCTACACAGCGCTGGAAACTTTTCTAGACGCCGAAAAACGCTCACAAAGGCACTCATACACTCCGGAAATGCGTCGGAGGGATTCTAGAGAGATATTTTAGAGAGAAGGGAGAGCTAAAGCATTGTGGTGTGTGGAAATGAGGGGGGGGGGGGGGGAAGCCCCTATTTATAGGTTTTCGCGCCTGACAGTGGCGAGACCGCCGTTCTCGTCTGACAGGGTCGAGACCGCCGTCTCGCCAAACGAGACCGCCGTCTCATCCTTCGCAGGTGGCGAGACCGCCGTCTCGTTTGGCGAGACGGCGGTCTCGTCCCCAAAAAGGCGAGAAACCTTATTTTTGTACAGGAAGTCCTTCCTATCCTAGTATGGGGCCTAATAGTCTCTCCTAGTGGCTTGTTAGGCTTCGCCCATCTTCGAATAGGAGGTCTTCTACTCTTTATTTGGAGGTCGGGCAAGATTTGGGGTCTACAGCTACCCCCCCTTTACCCGACCAGTCGACTGCCGGCCTTTTGTGCCCAGGTGATCGACTAGAGGGTAAAGGAGTTGACCCTCTTGCCCGGTTGCCCGTCAGATGCTCCGTCTTTGTGGCGGACGATCCTCTGGGGAAATGTTGTGCGCTTCCGGGATGCTCCTTCTGACGGTAGCTGATCCCTTCGACTGATGAGTACGAACCCCCATCTGGTTTTGACGAGTATGAACCCTCGCCCGGTAAGCCCCCTTTTGTAAGGCCCGATGAGTATACACCCCCATCTGGTGTTTGACGAGTATGAACCCCCGTCTGGTAAGCCCCCTTTTGTAAGGCCTGATGAGTACACACCCCCATCTGGTGTTAAGCCTCCGGATGCTCCATCTTGCGGTAGCTGATCCTTTGGCCGTGGTGGCGGCTTACTGCTCTAGCTCATGCGCCGATGTGAAACCTTGGGATGCTCCTTCGATGCGGTAGCTGACCCCTTGGTTGACGAGTACGAACCCTCGTCTGGTTTGGTGCCTCTGGATGCCCCTTCTTGCGGTAGCTGATCCTTTGGCTATGGTGGCGGCTTACTGCTCTAGCTCATGCGCCGACTCCTTGGGGAGTCATTTCTGTGCTGGTAGATGTACTTGGACCTCTTTGAACGGTCATCCGGGTTGTGCCGGGGATTTTGTGTTTCATCCAGCTTTGTTGGTTGTTGGGGATTCTTTTGTTCGACTCTTGCTGACTAGTCAGATGAGTCTTTTTTTGTTCGACTTTGATTTGGTAGTCAAAGTTTTGTTGGTTGAGGTGATGGCTTGTCTTAATCCTGCCTTTTTCTCGCGGTTTTATCTCTTTTTTCTCGCGATTTAGGATTTTGGCTTTTCTTATTGAGCGTATGCCTTTTTCCTTTTTAAGCTTTTTTTGTTTTACGCTAGCTTTTTCAAAGGGTGGCAAAGAGATGCATGAAATAAAATTTTATTTATAGGGAAATTTTATTACAACCACTTTTTATTTAGGCAAGTACCATCCCTAAGGGCTATCATCTAGAGATGATCCACGGGCAAATTGCTGGTAGAGGTGATATCGGAAGTCCGCTTGTTCTCGGACTTCGTCACAGTACTCTTGCTGGAATGTTGTCCATTCCTGCCGCATCACCTACTGATGCTGATACATCTCCTCTTGCCGAGTGTGGTAGGCTTCTTGTCACACCGTCATTTGGTCGAGCTGCCGGCGCAGATCATTCATGTTGCGGTTCATGCCAGCGAAATCATCCGTGTACGGTGGTGGTTGTTGTTGCTGCTGCTGCTGCTGGAATTCGGGAGGCGTGGGGATATCCTGCATCGCCACAAGCCCCTGGAGATCTAGTGCGAAATCTAGTGTGGGATGGAGGACCAACTGGGTTCCTCGGCGTATCAGCATTCCCATGCTGACCAGGACTGACCCGTTGATGGACTCGGGTCGCAAGTTGGAGGCCAGCTCTTCCCGGCCAGGGGAGTGATGAGAGGAGCCACGAGAACGGCCCCCGCTGATCTGTTCCCGAAGTCCTTGAGGGCTCTAAGGAAGAGGTAGTCGGGGTTGCAGCGCCGCTTCTGGCTCATGCAGTAAAGTACGAAGAGGTCAGGGAGGGATACCTTACCCTGACTCTCTTTCCTTCCATGGATGGTTCCTGCCAGCAGCTTGTGGCAGATGCGGAGTGCTGGGGGAAGCGCGGAGCCCCTCATCAGCGTGGGCAGCGTGGTGGCTCCTGTGAGCTCATGCCACATTTCGGCGGCAGTGAGGTTGGTGGGCCGGGAGCAGATGGCCTCACGGTATCCCTGGGTCAATGTGTCCTCGGGCCGGACGAACCCGATGACCATGTTGAACTCGTCGAGGGTGGTGGCCTGGTATCTTCCACCCATGAAATAGGTCACCATTTTAGTGGGCTGTAGGCCCGGGACCGTGGAAGGGACCTC